CGGGGAGGGGGTGTGATATCCGTTGGACACCCCCCCCCCTTTCCCCCCTGGCCAGGGAGGGGGGGGAGCTAGGGCAGCCACTATTCACGTGAATAGTGGTTACCCTTGCAAATAGTATTGTGTGTTTCCACCCGTTGCCATGGCAAAGGGCAATTACTATTCATTTTTTTGTTTTTTTTTTTCACAAATTTGTTTACCTAAACAATTAATTTGGATAATATTTTAGGATTTTGGGTTCGTACGTGTCAATATTTATTATAAAATTCATATCTCAATAGGATAAAATTTTGGTATTTATAGGAAAAAAAAATTCAGTAATTTTTTGGTATTTTTTTTTTTAAAAAATTTGATTTTCTTTCATTTTTTTATTGCACAAAAATTATTGGAGAAAAAAATATGATCGGAGAGCTCAGAGCGCGACACATGGACTTTAGCGGCACTGTAGAGCGTAGCACATGGGGCACTGTAGCGATGACGTCAGCACCAGCCATCTGGCTTGAGCTCGGGCTGAACTGGCCTGAGGGCCAGCTCGACTTCGTGGATCCCACTCCCAACTCGGGCTTGGGTTATACACTAGAGCTGGGTTTTTTTTTTCTCCCCCCAACCTTTGGTTGGGCTGTCCGGTAGAGCTGGTCTTATATGTACATACCCACCTCAATCTAGCACAAGGTCTTTTGGGAGCTCAATGGCTTCGGAGTCATGAGAACTCCGAAATTAAGCGAGTTCGAGCTAGAGCAATTCCAGGATGGGTGACCCAATGGGAAATTGCTCGTGAGTTCTCAAAAACAAAATCGTGAGGGCAGAGAGGGGCCTTCTCTGAATTTTCTTATCCATGAATCCAAGAAATCTCTCACTTCTATCAATTTCATAATTTCATTATACTCACACATTCCAATTTCAATAAGAGACAAAGACACTGACTCAAGTGCATGAAAAACTCCAAAGTCTTTCTTCCCACAACCGTCTTGACATGGACTAGTGGAATCAATTATGTTTGCGCGTCTACATTTTCTGTTTCAATGGTCTAGTCTCCAGTGGAGTGATTGACCCGTATGCTTTAATAAAAGAGGATAATATTAAGGATATATATATTTTTGTTGCTAAAGTGAGAAAGGGGAGGGGAAAAACTCACAAACACGGATACGACAAAGCTTGAACCGAGGGCCACTTGGAAGCACACTAAAGATCTGCGCCAATCCAACTAACATCCCTTGGCTCGTATATCAATGAAGTTAATTACGACAAATTTTGTATAACTAACATTTATGGGACCATGGTAGAAGTAGATTTTTATGTTTGGCGGGTGCTACCAGCTTAAAATTATTGGAATTTCTTTTAAGATCTATAGTTATGATATATACATGTTTCGAAGAGTTGTACATGGGTAGAGAGGGCTAAGCCTGTGGTAACTCATTAGTCAGCATGTCATGCATGCTCACCTTGCCATATTATTAGGCCAAATAAAAATGTTAGGGACACCAAAAATTTGTTCCTTAAATTTGAATCATAAATTATGTGGTATACATTACATCATCATTTTTAAATTAATAGAATTTCCAATGTGTATTTAAAAGTGATCAGTACCACCATATCTCATCACCACCACCTAACATCCTTTCGCCGATGTGCTGCACCACCATGCAAGTCCGACTCCGAACCAATCACAAGTGATATGTGTCTATATTTTTGCAGCTTCAATATTGTTCCCTACAATTCCCCCAAACTCACCACGACATGCTTTGACCCAAAAAAAAATAAAAATCTTTATGCTTTATATCCTTTCAGTTCATGTGCTAATGCTAATTTTGGGTGTGGGTAAAGATTCAGAGCAGAGGGCTTTGGCATCATCCTTGTAATCGAAGGAAATGGGTTTAGGCCAGCACATTTGTTGCAGAAACCTGGGCTACAGAAAGAATAAAAATTGAAGACTAGAAAACACCAACTAGCTTTTAGTTTAGTGGTATTTTTCGATCCGAATGTTGTAAGAAGTCTCAAATTCGAAACCCCGCAACCCTCATTGATTTAAAAATAAAATAATAAAATACAGAACCCAGAAAACGTGGGTTATAGAAAGAATGGAAAATTAAATCTTCTGGTAAAACAGAATTTGAACATACCAAGTCTTATGTGCAAGATAAAAGAATGGGTGAAGCTTTGAGGCTTGCTAGAGAAATGATCCAAAAAGGATTGATGCCTGATCTAGAGACACAAAAAACTTTGAAAGGTTTCCTAGTCTCTGCATAGCAGAGTAGGTTTTAAGAACTGATACTTTAAGAATTGATGCCTACCGTTGGCAATGGTCTTGGAAGGATGTTTCCACCAAAGTCCAGAACATGAGGCACCAATATCTGCTTGTCAAGCAGAAGATCAAGAAACAACAACCAGACGGTGGTGCTAGCAGTGGTGGTGGTAGTGGGGAGTGTAGTGGGGAGGAGTTTGACTGGATGGAGGGCCTTACCCATTGGTCGAATTTCTTGAGATATAAGGAGGTTTTTGGGGATGTGGGGATCGTGAATTGCAATGGTAATGAACTGATAGCATCTGTGAATGGGGATGGTGAGAATGGTGGGGTGTTTGTGGGGAGTGGAAGGGGAATGGGGCTTGTGGATTTTGGGCAAATGGGCCATTCCGATGGGGATTTCGGGGCAGGGATTGATGGGGTTGAGAATGGAGTGATGGGTTTAGGATTTGAGTATGATGGCGAGGAGGGAGAGGAGAATTTTAATGGCAATGATCGGGTTAGGGAGGATGGAGATGACAGGTTTGTGTGTGAAGAAGTGGAGCAAAATGGTCGTAGTTTCAAGAAGAAGAAGAAGAAGAGGGAGGCGTCGATGGGGTTGGGAAAGAAGGCATGGGGATTTCTAGGTAACCAACTAAGCAAGTTGAAGGAAATGGAGGCTCGGTTTGAGCAACGTGAGGCAGAGAGAGAACGGGACAGACAGAGGAGTGAGAGTTTTAGAATGGAGTGTGAGCAAGAACGGGAATGGAAATGGGAGGAATGGGTAAATAAAAAGGAGGAGAAAGAAAAGACAAGGGAGAAGTTGAAGAAGCAGAGGATTCTAGAATGGGAAGCATTGGAGAAGGAGAGTGAAGAGAGAGAAAGAAGAAGAAAAGAGGAAGAGTTGATTCATGAGAGGGAATGGGAGGAGAGGATGGATAGGAGGAGATCAGAATGGAAGAAGAGGATTGACGAAATGTTGGGTCACCACCGTGCAGAGATGGGCCAGATGCAGACTCGTATTCTTCATGAGCAACAAAACCTTACAAGCCAGTTACTAGGGATTGTCTCTCAGTGGACTGCTCATCCAGCTGGACTGCTGATCATACGAGTGCTAGTAACCATTATTTATCACAAATGATGCAGAATTTGCACCATGTGAATAGTTTGGTTCATGAGGATGCTAGGGTTGAGGGAGAAAATCAAGATGATCAATTCATTGTTGATGGGTAACGTCTTTGCTTGAAGAAACTGCTCTCTGCTTAGTAAGCAAGAATGTTTGCAGTGTTGGTGAGAACTGTAAAGTTTAGCAAATTGTTTAATGCATATGATGTGTACTTTGTTCAGTTAGGTATGGTTATAGACTGATCTGTCGAGCTTGAAATCAAGTCAATAAGGACTAGAGATTTCCCAAATCCAATTTTTTATGTAACTATCTTGTTTAAAATGAATAAAGTTTCTTTATCCCCCAGTATGTCTTGGCAATATGAGTGTGAGATCAGATCTTCATCGAGTGTGTATTAAAGTTTATGCATTTTGATATGGAGCTCTTTTGGCTGGCATATTTGACCTAATTCGGTGTCAGTAGAAATTAGCTTTGTTCTCTATGCGATATTCATGTTTCTTCAAGTATTTGAGTCCAAAGGAAAAAGTACTCCAACAGAGACTATTCTTCCAATGCTAACTTTAATATGGACTTTATGTAGTTGCTGCAACACAACTTGCCTTTAGTATGATTCTCTGTGTGAATTTGCTTGTGAAGGAGCATGCATGCATGTGCAGGTGTGCCTTTGCACATGTGTGAAAAGAGGAGGATTAGAATCATTATGGTTTTCAGTACGTGATACAAAATTTTACTTAATTACATACTTGCATGCTTTAAGTGTAATTATCTGTCGAGCAGATAGAATCTGTCTATGCAGTTCCATGTAAAAGAAAAATTGGATGGATTTAGTTTTTGTTGGCTTCCTGAAATTGACATAAATCTTTCATTCCTCCAAATGGGGTGGCATCCCAACTAAGCCTCTAGCCCAAAAAATGGGTTGGCTATACGACTACTTCGCTTCTCCTAGATGAATGTAACTAGTCTTACCGATATACGTTTCTGATAATTGTATATTTTGTTGCTGCTGATATCCATGTAATTTGGTTCTATTCTTGCTCGGGGGGTGAAATTATACTTTGCAGTTAAGGTAATCAACAATAAAGCTAAGCAACTTAAAGATGAGGGAGTTCAGTCCTTTCAAATTGTTTTGAGGAATTGTGCTTTTGGAAATCGCTCTTGTTTCTTAACAGCAGATAATCATTTGCCTGCTCTTATTACAATATTGATTGCCTATTGACCTGGAAGTGCTGTTGTCTACATGTAGTGGAATCTCAGATGCTTGTGAGATTTGATTCATGTATACTCATGCATACATGCATCTAGCTTTTATCTGCAGATCAGGTTGTGTTTACCAGGCTGTTGCTTATTTAGAGGTAGGATATTTGGGTGTGCTTTTTTCCCAGTCTGTGCATAGCAGAGTAGGTTTTAAAGAAACCTGGACTGCTGAGAACTGACCATATGAAGATAAAAGCAAAACTAATTACTGTTGTGGTAAATGTTACATGATTTGTTGATGTAAATTGAAATTCTACTGTGTATGTATGGTATGGGAAAAAAGTCCATATTGTTTACAGTGTGGAATGTATAACTCAGTATAAATTTAGAATCAAATTTTCACTTCAGTGGAATCAGAAATTTTGGGTCTAATGCAGAACTTTTCTTTAACTTATTTTGGCATTCTTCAACTACAATAGGCCCCCTGGCCCTCCAAATACATCCACCATCACAGTCACAGATACAAAATATGGGGTATACGTTAGAAAAATGTTACAAACTTACGGAAATTATATTGTCTAAGAATGTATATAATTTTCGAAGGCTTTGTACTTAGACTTAATGCACTGACCAATAAGATAACTACTTGCCTGTCGATTATGGCAATGAATAACATCCAATGAGCAAGTGTGTTTAGTAACATATTTTCTAACCATGAAATATGAGGATTTTCGTACCTTTGATGCACGCAGTTTCCACATGCATCCGTCATCCACACAACCAACTTCAAATCTTTCTTTATTAGATCTCTTCACTTTGAACTCAAAATTTTTCTTCATAGCATCGATACCCAACTTTGTTTTTAAATCCTCCTTAGTCTCATACACCTGACCTACAATTATATCTCCACTTGAGTTGCGTAGCTCTGTCATGTCTAATCCATGTAGAATGTTTTTATCCTTGTTTGGAGCAGTTGGATTGTTAGAGTTAGGCTCATCACATTGCACGTAGATAGCTGGCACTTTGTCACATGTCATGTTTTCTTCGAAGACAACATTATCTTGAAAAATATTATCAACCTCTACATGTGGCATATCCTCAAATTGCATGTTCTCAGAACGCAACTCACCCACATGTGTTGTATTATTTTCCACTTCATATTCTGAGTCCAATTCTTCAGTTCCCAAGTCATCTTCTGAATCTTTATCTTGCTCATAATCTTCTAAATCACCTTGAGTACCCAAGTTGAGGTTCATTGGCATTTGTTCGAACTCAACCAATGGAGTTTGTTGATTGCTTCCACTTCCATAAGAAAATACTTTACGTTTCACTGTAATGCACAATGGAATCTTGTAAGACCTTGAAAGTCTTTCAAAAATAAAAGCTTTTACATCATCATCATCGACTATCCCTGTGGGCCATGCACTTTTCATTGCATCATATATCACTTTCATAGTTACCTCATACTCATTTCGGTCCACATTGGCAATGTCATACACTTTATTCCGGAGTTCCTTAAATGTAATTTTGTCTGAAACAAGTAGTCCTTTACTTTTGCAATTTTTATACATCGAGTTAGCCCACCTCCCACCATAGTTAATCAAAATTGTCAAACTAGACATTTGCCTGAAAAGGTAAGCCAAAAGTATTAATTAAAAAATAACCCTACAGACCAAAAATTCACAACGAAACCAAAAACATCGAGTATGAAACAAAGTAGAAATTAATAAAGCTTTTAAACTATGGAACAAAAATGAAATTAGAAATAGCATAGATATCAAATATCAACTATCAACTTTTATGCAATCTGCAGGTCGTAATAATAGCCTACACACTAGCTTTCCAATTCTATTTGATGAATTCTAACTCGAGCAAGAACTTTAACATTTGAAACAGAAAAATTACAAAACTTAATGGATACCAAATAAACCTTAGACACATCCAAGTTAGTCGAAGGTCCATACTGATGAACTAATAACATCAGCATGTTATTACATATTCTGCTACACATATGTCAGAATCATCATATTACCATATTCAATAATTTTCCAAGCCTATCTGCACTAACCTTTGATGTAGGCTCAAAGTGAATTAACGATATTAAATCATAGCACTTTGGATAGGGCTCAAGAGTTAAGTCAGCAAAACCAGAATTGAAATTTTATAAATATAGATGAAGAATAAACGAAGAAACGAAGAAGAAATTGAATGAAGAACCAAGGAAGAAGTGCTCACCGTTTGACTATGGCAGCAATACGTCTGCGAACGAACTCTACATAAAAAATTCCCAATCTAATAGGGTTTTCTTTTCTTTTTTAGGTTTATGTGGGTTTTAAATTTGAGGGTATTTGTGTCTATTTAGGTGAGTTTTCTGCTATATTTGAAATTTTTTACAAAAACTGACATTTTTGAAATTAGGGGTCAAGTTTTGGCTATTTTTGATAAATTCTCCCAAATACATCCACCATCACAGTCACAGATACAAAATATATGGGTTATACGTTAGAAAAATGTTACAAACTTATGGAAATTATATTGTCTAAGAATGTATATAATTTTCGAAGGCTTTGTAATTCAAGTGGTTAAGAGCAATTACCCTATACTCGGGATCATGTGTCTCAAACCATCCTCCTCAAAATCGAGTTGCGAAATTTTATAAATATTTCATTAGACCCCCATTATTTCTCAATTGTATTTTTCTGATTTTCTAATGAATTTATATTCTGATGAAAAATTAGAAGTGTAAGAAATAGAACCCAACAGTCCACAGCTGAGCCCGACTTTGGCAAAGCCTTTCCTCTCAGCCTCCTGGAGTGCTCGCAAGCCAAACCCAAAATCAGAATAAAACTAAAATAAAATAATTTCACCGCAATTCACAGTCGCTTCGCTTCCCGTTTCCAATCCTTCCCTCTCTTCTTCTTCTTCCTCAGGCTCTTGTTCAGTTTCGTTTTCTTCATTTGATTGGTTCTTGCTCTTCACTTTCATTTTTCTCCAGTTCTTCTTGTGTATCCAGTTACCCAGCCCTCCCCCGTCTTCGGCTCTTCTTCTTCCTTTTCAGTTCGTCTTGTTCGGAAGTTGATGCTTGAGGTGTTAAATATCAGCATTTGGTCATTTTGAAGAGGTAAGCGCATTGTATCATGTGTCCTTTCGATGCTGTTTCAATTTCTTGCTTTGAGTGCATTTTCTAATAAGTTTGTAAAATTTTTCTAACATTTGCTTTGAGTGTATAAATTTGAGAAAATGTTATAAATACAGATGAGATGCCGCTGAAATTTTGACAGATGTTTTCACTGAATGAACAAAAATTTAGCCAAAGCTTTTGCCCGAAAAATTGTGATCCTGGCGGGCCCTGGTTCGATCTCTCTTTTCCCTCTGAATGCTAATCTCAGTCGCTGTAATTGGTTTGAAGAAACACAAAGCTACTCCCTCTTACCCACTTCTTTGCCTTAGAGCTAATTTCTTTAATCTTTCTGGACTTTCCTCTCTGTTTGTAATTAGCTTTGACATTATCAATTCCCATTAGAGTGCTAGGGAGAGCTTCATTAAGGTGTCAAAAGAATCTGACTCAATTTCTTTTGTTGTTTTATAGAATAGAGAGACCTTTATTAAGAAAACAGACAATACAACAGGGGAACAAGGTGTTCACCGCGAAAGAGGACAATGAAAATAAATACAACATTTGCGCACCTTACAAAACTAGCTAACAGCAACCTAATTCACAGCTTCTTTGCTGTCTAATAAAATCATGGACAAAGATATATGCCTAAACTCAATGGAAATCGAAGCCGATATTGAGGAAAAAAACCTGTCTCATGACTCCTACAACCCAAGTTCCTAGTAATCTTCAAATATGCTCCTGTTTCTGTCCATCCAAATAATCCAAGTAACTGCCAGCACACTACCACTCCATAGAATTTTTACCTCCTTCCCACCACCTATTTCTATTAATTGGCGCCTCTGTCAGAAAATGCTTAGCAAATCTTTTTGTTTAGATGGTGCATTCAGTAATATCAGGTGTAATATCAGAGGTATTTCAATTGAATTGAACTATATTTTCAGTTTAGAAAGATGGAATTAATTGATCCTGATAGCCCAAAGCACTGTTAATAAATCTACTTTAGTTCTGATTTCTATTTCAAATTGTGTAATTG